TAGCCTGTTGGTGGGGGATTTTTGTTTTTTCAGCTTGTTTTTTTTCTCATTTGAAATTGGAGTGAAGAAAATGAAGCTGCTCCAGACCAGAGCCAGAGGAACCATCTCGCTTCAGTGGTGTAACTGAAAAAATCGATGGCTTCTACTTCAGGCATTGTACCATCGTGACAGACCTGTCCTGCTTTTGCCTAGGCAAGCTAATACTGCCACATGGCACTGTTTTTGGTGGCTGTGGGGTGCTCTGCTGTGTGGGCAGCAATGTTGGTTTAGGTCAACGTTGAATGCCATCAGCCCTGGCATTTCCTGTGCTTCCTTCCAGCCGCAGTCCCTGTGTAGCCATGGTGAAGCTGCTAAATGCTGGCTGTATGAATGTGATGGGGACATTTGAGTAAAAAGCCATATCCAGTCTCCCTGTCAGAGATTCCTCAGTGAAAATAACACTGTTAATTCACCAGCTAGAGTTCAGGGCAAAGGTTTAGATTACTTCTGGTTTTATTCTAACTTGATTGCTCATCCGTAGTAACCAGCCTGTCTGAGAACAAGAGTGTATGCAAATTCCCTAGGCTATTATTCTGTATTAAAAAAAGAAAAAAAAAAAAAAAAAAGACTGTGGTATGACTTTAGACTTAATCATCATTTATCCTACCCTGAAGGCATGGAAGTTAATGATGATATAGATCTGTGCGGTTTTGTGTTCCCCTTGACTGAGCATTAGAAATAATTAGGGCTTGTGGGATGGATCTACTGGTGGTGGAGATGAGCAGAAAACATTTTTGAATGTGTATATGTGCTTCTTCCAAGTTTGCTGGCAAAGATACAGGTGCTAAGTGTGTGCTTATGGGCTCTGAGGTTTCTTGCTTGTTTGTTGAGACATAGCTAGCTGGTGTTGAGCCGAAAGGAAGTGGGAGTAAATGAGTTCTGTTATTTTGGACGCTTTTAACATTATGGGCCAAGCAGAGTTGCTAGCGATTTCTGGATGGATTTCTTCAGCAGGCTAAGCTCTCCTGCATCCCAAGTGCTGCTGAGTACAGCTCTGGATTATGCCTGTGGAGTACCTACAGCACTGGGGCTAGTCCAAGAGTCCCACGCTGTACAGGAGCTGGTACTAGATCTCTTGAACTATGGGGAAGCCTTAAGCACCTGAATTACCTGCCTGAGTGACCTGAGTGTTTGAGTTAGTTGGTTATTAGACAGCCATGGCCAAATGCATGGTGATGGTTGTCACGGGTTGGATGGGGAGGAACTGGTTCTGCTCCTCTGGAGAAGACCTCTGATCTCTGTCTTGTTGTGGGTCAAACCAAACACAGTTTCTGGGTTTTATTCAGGCACAAAAAACCCTTCATCTCTTCCCAAGTAGCCATGTGGGGAGTTACAGAAGCATCTTTTTTTTTTTTTTTTTGTATGGTAGCAGCCCTTCTATAAAGTTTTTTCTAAAATAGTTTCTTCTGTGTTGCAGGTACCTACTTTACTTTCTGTTTGCCCACTGTTTCTACCCCGGTCTGGCCAATCTGCAGTTTGAGGAAAGCTGTTTTGGCAAAAATAATGTTCCTGCCAGGCTGGAAGGTGGGGGAAAGAGAAATGGTGCTGAGCCTGTATGGACTTGTGTAGTGGGACTGTGTGCTGGTGGCCTCTCTGGCTATGTGGGATGGGAAGGCTCCTGAGAGAGCATCCTGAAAATGTTGGTAGCACCATCACCCTGTATGGTGAGCTCTTTCAGCAGGGCCATTGGAGGAGCCACCCCCTTGGAGACAGGAAGCAGAGGCTCTGGCCTGGTTTGAGGCTGGGTTGGGATGGGGTTGGCACCTGGCAATGATACAAGTAAAGGACAGATGTACTGGAAATGACTGAGTAGGGTGCTGATGGGGAAGATGAAGATACCTTGTATCTAGATGGAGCAGTGGTAATGTGTATTTATACCAGAATTTTGGGAATTTTCAAAGCAAAACATTTAGGTCCTTGCAGGCAATTTAGAATAACTACTGGCTAAATACATTCCTCAGAGCAAATCGATTTAGTGTAGTATTTTAGAAGATATACTGTGAAAGCAGTCCTGGGCAGAAGCTCATGGGGCAGCCAGGGAGCCTGTTGTGCCTTAGCAGCCCCTCAGAGCTATCTCATCTGGGCTGGGAGTCCCTCTGGTCTCCAGAGGAGCCCAGGCACAGGGGGAACTTAAAGTCGCTTGCTGCTTTTTGTCTTCCTAGCATGTGAATTTTGGGTTACTGTGTGGTGCCTGTCAAAAGATGTATCCCATCCTCTCCTATTTGTTTTGCTTTATGCAGAATTCTACTAAAATAAGGGAGGAATTGAGTCTTTTCTGACTGGAGATTTAGTATTCCGGTCCGCTGGCTGATTCACCGGTAGGAAAATTCCCACTGACTTGAGTTAGAGTTGAATGGGTTGTATTATCTTTTCATATGCAGAAAATTATTTTGAAATTGAAGTTAATAACAGCAATTTTAAAAATGTCATTGATAGAAAGATAGTACAATGTTTAGTTGTATCATGTTCTTTTTATGATCTGATGTTTGAATAAAAGTACTTTTTCTGCTTTTTTCCTTAATTAGCATGTCACGAAGAAGTTTGTGGCATCAAACACCCCATCTAATTATATTCATTAGCAGCATCTCCAGGACAAGTTTTAATTAAGTTGTACGATGTAGATCAATACTTGTTTTGCATCCGTTGCAACTTACGACAAGAATATACTGTTCTGCAGAGTTTAGTTACAGTGATTGTAATAGAAGGAATTTGAATAAACCTGCCATTTTGACAACAACACTCCTGTCTCTTGCTTTTTAAAATAATGTACAGTTATAATATGGGATGTGTTATTTATCTGTGTCCTATTTTGAAGAATATTTTAAGATCACTCTTTTTATCCCATTAAAAAGAAAATGCAGTGTGGTTTAGGAGCACTTGTGCTTGACTTCAGCTGCAGCAGGAGAAATTTACCTGAAGGCTTCAGGAGGTGAAAGGCTGGCCATCACTGAGTGACATACATAGTGGTAGATGATAGCAATACTATCGTTTTGCTTAGGCTGTGGGGCGGAAAGCCACCAAATTGTATGTTTACTGTGAGTATAGTTCGGTGTAGTCTCTGAGTATTGCTTTCACCAAATGTCCTGTAGCGTGGCAGCGTTGCCAGCTCCCAACTGTTTTCTGTTTTGGCAGGCAAAAGCAATCCAGGCATGAAGACCCTGAGCTGCCAAAAGTTTTTGCTCAACATCATGAAAATATACTTGATCAGACAGAACATCTATGTGCCTTATGATAGTGTCCTGCATTAACATTTGCATACATTGTGAAAATACCTGGATAGACAAATCTTTTTTTAAGTATTTGATACCAGGGTTGAGAACTGTTGTTTTTTTTTTTTCCTACCTCAGCATTGTATTTTTGTGTTTTGAGCTGTTTTTGTGTACAAGGGACTACAGTGGTCAGCCTTCAGTACAGTACAATGATTAAGACCAAACTGACTCAGAGAACTTTGGTTTTTTACTATGCCTCTGTCAATAGTTTAATCCTGATATCTGAGGTACTCAGTTGGCAGCATTTTTAATTTTGTCTGTGGTGCCTTGCAGTGAGGTGACTGGGGCCAGTGTAAGGAAGAGTCTGTATGCCTCATAGGTGTTTGTTTGCACCGGTATAATTGGCTGTGCAGAGACAGAAGATCAGCCTGATACAAGTTACTAGGGGTGAGGGTTATGGTGCTCTCATCCTTTACACTTGTGCATTCAACCTGTTTGTTTCTCTTCTCTAGCAATCTTGAAGTCCCTACATGGTTGCATTTCTAAGGGAGTGAGTGCAAAGCCTCCTCCACCTGTTTCAAGCTTGTTCTTGGGCTAGATCATCATGGCCTGGAAAGTCTTGAAAGTCCAATTGTGAAAACTGGTGAGATTTTTAAAGAGCACATAGGGCGGAGATCAGGAATTGAAGACCCAGGGAAATCGTGTCCTTATCAGGAAGGACAAGTGCAAAAACTGAGATATTACACAGGCAAATATGTGGTGAGAAGTGAGTGTTTTAATCCAAAGGGAAGGAAGTGCACTCTTAAAGTAGAATAAAGTTCTTCCTAGATTGAGATTGTGGGTGAGAGCTGTTGATTCAGAGACAAGCTTTGAACTTGGAGATTTAAAACCCTGGCTACAGGAGGTGAAACCTCAGTACCAGAAGCTGCTATAATTTTTCTTAGCTGAGTTTAAGTGTGTGTAGATTTAATTACTTCACACTGTTTACTCAGTATTTCAGGTAATAATGAGGGGAAAAAATGTTATAAGCTTGGGAACAGCTTTTACTGTTTAATGTAAATTGTTGATTGCTTATGTGACTTAACACAGCTACTCTGAATTTTTGTGTGGCAAAAAAAAAAAAGATCACTTGGATAACTTATAATGAAGTTGTCAAAGATTTGGGGAAAAATGTGGGAGAGGGAGGAAAGAACAGATTCCTGATAACAGTAGTACTGTAATACTTGCACGTAAAATACTTTCAAAATTGAATTCATGATAATCAGGAAACTCTGCATGTTGTTTCTTGTTTCATTTTGACTTAAAGGCCTGATTATGCTAGAAACATATACCACCTTAGAACAACTGTGTGTAAACATGTATAAATGCTTGTGAGTGTATGTGTATACTTATATGCTGTGTCTTACATATACAGATAGACATGCACAGTGTGTATTATGTGTTTTCCCCCAAAAGACCAGATCCTAAGAATGTGAAGGACCTAGATCTTAGAGAAGTTTAGTGCATTTACAACTTGGTTTCAGTGGCAGATCTCGAAGGAATAAAGTAATGCATACATAAAATTGCTTTCAGTATATGACCTCATTGTTAGAGGAGTTATTGCATTGTTATTCGGCTTTACAAAAATGCAACTTCCTTGGTTAATTATAAACAACTTCTTTACCATAGCCACCCAAACCTTGAAATATTTACTGAAGTTTGTAATCCATCCATCTTCCTTAACAGCTTTTTTCTATTATTTTCCAGTGAACTTACTGGATTCGCGCACGGTAATGGGGGATCTAGGATGGATAGCCTACCCAAAAAATGGGGTAAGTCTCTGCTGTTGTTTGCTTTCTCTCACAAATTATACTAATCGTTTCCATTCGGAAAGTAGACTACTGGGTTTAAAAACTCCCTGGAGTGATTTGTCGGCAATGGAGGGAAAAAATAAATAAAACAACAAGCTGTGACTGGAAAAATGGAGCTGTGTGGCTAGGGGATTGATTTATTTATGCAGTACAGCAAGCCACAAATACTAAAAAAAAAAAATCATGAGTCAGCCCCCTCACTCCTCACCAAGAAAATCCTTTCCTGCTGTTTTCTTCTTCAGCCTGTGGAATAGATGTCCAACATAATTTTCTGGAAGTTTTCATCTGGAACATGGTCTGGGACATTGCTGTTAGCTTTAAATGAATTGTTCAGAAATACTCCTCAGGCTCATGATAAAATTCTAGGAGCTCATAACACTGGAACAGGAACTGAGTTTTAAGCACCTTCAAGAGCCTCTGTCCCTTCTGTTTTCTTCTTCAGCCTGTGGAATAGATGTCCAACATAATTTTCTGGAAGTTTTCATCTGGAACATGGTCTGGGACATTGCTGTTAGCTTTAAATGAATTGTTCAGAAATACTCCTCAGGCTCATGATAAAATTCTAGGAGCTCATAACACTGGAACAGGAACTGAGTTTTAAGCACCTTCAAGAGCCTCTGTCCCTTACCATTACCTATACTGAGAACTGAAAGAACTTGGCCTCCTAATTTGGTACCTGAAGTAAGTGCTGGAGTTTATATGCATTAATACCCTCCAGTCTGTCTGCTTGGCCTGACTGCATCATGCAAGCTGTCATTGCTGTGACTTTTGGTTTTGGTTTGGCTGGGGTGTCCTTGATGCTGCACTGTAACAGGACTTCGGTACGGTCTCGAAAGGTTGACTTCTGCGTGGTGCTGAGTGTTCCTGTCAGATCCTGGAAGCCATGAGCACAGTGTGAGGTAAGAATACATCCCAAGACAGAAATGCTGCATTACTGAGCCCTCCAACAGAGCAGCTCTCAGGAATGTGTTATTCCAGAGTTTTAGCCACCAGCTGAAATGGGCTACAGAATTGTCTTGGCCTCTAGTTGGGTTGTCATAAAAATGGTGGCAATGTTTATCTAAAATGCAGCCAACTCTGCAAATATATTACACAGTGAATTAAAATATGGCTTTCTATATATTCTGTGTGGATAAAAGGCTGTAGAAATGGCAGCCTCACTCAGATGAGCTGCATGTTTGCAGGCACTGGTTATGGCAGGGACATAAAAGCTACACGGGGAGCTGAGTTTATCCTTAACTCAGTTCAAGATATAATCCTGCTGTGGTCAGAGTCTGTAACAATATTTTTTTTTTAATCTGTTGATTTAAAGCTGAGAACTAAACTTGCTCCTCTTGCATGTGTGGGCATCAGAATAACCAGTGCCAGATGTGCTGGCAGAGCAATGTGTTGGTGCCACAGCACACCGTAAAGATCCTGATGTCCACTTCTTAATGGAAGATTTTTCCTTCTTGAACACCTCTTGGTATTTTTGCTATGGTATAAAGTACAGTTGCTATCTATCCCAATGTCCTTACAGGAATATCAGTAGAAAAATAACTGGGCCTGAGCAGTTCAGAAGACTTCTGAGTCTGTATGTGTAGATGAGTAAACGAAAAGCTAAATAGCCTATGCATAAATGTCAGTTGTGTCTTTTCATTATTTAGAGAGACCTTTCTATATTTACAAGCTCAGTTTCCCAACAGCACCTGGAAGTGCACTTATGAATGCCGAAGTAACAGTTACTGACTCACTAGGGAGAATTTTTTTTCCTTAAATTAACTTCCAGAAATAACTGAATCAGGCAGTTGGTTTTTGAATTTCCAGAAATCTCCTCTTAATCTTAATTTTCATGGGACATTGTAAAATTCAGGAGGTTAGTTCAATTGTCTCTTTTTTTGGCCTAATATATTTGCAGTATTTTACAAGTGCTGAAAAAAGTCTTTCCAGGCTTACTTCTTTAACGGGCTTATCTGCTTTGCAGTCAGCTATGCTGCAGTTATACTATGTTTGCTTAACTTTTAAAAAGATCTACCTTGTATAAATATTTTAACTAACTCTCACTTCAGATTTTGAATTTGGAAAAGGAGGGAGCTTTAATTGAGATCAGGGATATGCGTGTTGTTTTTTGATGTATTTTCGTACAAATTTGTTATCTCAGGATGTCCTCTTAGGGAAAATTTTGTAAGGTCTGTGTATCTGCACAGTCCCCCATCAAGGAAAGGAGCATAAATGTCATAACGTGTCACACTTTGCAACGCTACAGTGTGTAGACATAGACCATGTGCAAGTAAACTTTTTGATGTGTAGTATTTTAGTATTGCTACTAACAGTATCCTGTAGAGTCTAGTCACTTTTCAAGTACTTGGTAGCAATTTCAATGGTGATACAGTTCTAACTGAAGATACGTTAGCTTTTGAAGCAGCCTTCAACTCTTCTAGTATTGCTTCTTCTCCACTTGATTTTTTTATTATGAATCTTAAGGAAACTTAGTATTTTTCCTAGAACCACATAACACTAGAAGTAGGAGATTGCACCAGGAGCACAGCTGCTATTAAAGAAAGCAAGTGTTTAGTCTTTGTAGTTGTATGGCAGTGCTTGGGAGAAGTTATCTGTGTATCACAAAGGCTCAAGCTGGTAGGTTTTGAAAACAGATTTCCACATTTATTTAAAAACAAAACAAAAAAACCCCAAACCACAAAAACCCCACCAAAACAAAGGGGGTAAGAGGTCCAGTCAAACCAAATGAGCTTGTTTTTGGCAGATCCTTTGTATGTGTCATAGTCTAAATTTTTGTTATAGCTGCATACCATTTAATACACGTAATTTTTGTGTATTAGAGCTTTAAGACATTCCATGCTCCAGGGAGGTCCAGCTGCTCTTGTTTTGCCTGTTGATCGCCTCATTTTTGCTGAACATAATGGGAAAACATGATTTAACTTGGGAAATTAAAGCAGTGGTGTGTGGGAAGGAGACTGACCCTTCAGTCTAGAGACAGGTTAGGCTTAGAGGTAGACCTGTTTCGTGTCTGTAATTCCAAATAAAGCACTGCAGCTGCTTTAGTCCCCACAAGATGAGACCTTGGTCCACTGCTAAACAGCATGCACCAGCTCATTTTGTGAGTAATGGATTTTAGGGCAAGGGAGAGGAGCACTTTAGCCAAGGGTTGCCTCTGCAGAGCTTTGTCTAGCCAGGCGCTTATTTGGTACAGGTTTTGATAGTGTCCAGTATCCTTGCAGCCTGGCTGGCTTGCATTTACCCTGTGTAGAAGGTAAGAAAAATCTCCCTCTTCCTTCACACGGAGTATTGTGAGGGCAGTAGAATGAAATTAAGTGACTGAAATACACTGTGGCCAAGCAGGGGTTGAAACAGTGTCTCCTGGTGTGAAGAACTGGCTGTTGTGCCGGAGAAGGTGCTTCTTTCTGCTGCTTCACTCTGAAGGATTAATGAGTTGTGGTTGTACGGCTTCCTGGCTTCCCCAGGAGGCCTT